AGCTACATGAATAAATTATTTTAATATGTCTCACGATTATTATATTTCATTATAATCAATAAAAAAATTACTTATTGCAGCTAGAATTGAAATCGAAAGAATGTCAGAAACTTATGGAGATAATGGGAAACTTGATGGAAATTTACGATGAAATGAAAGTATTTGACTTAGACCTCTGCTTTAGTGATAGAGGGCTCGTTGTATGTCCTGAGTACAGGGGCCTTGGTATAGCACAGGAACTTCTTAAAGTCAGGTCGGTATCATGATTTCTATAAATATAAATGTAACTTCTATAAATATAAATACAATGTATGTGTCCTACCTCTATAATACTTTCTGTTTCGTTTTTAGTAAGTCATCTCTATCTAGACTTACTTACGTAATAGTTTGGATAGCAATTCAAAAAATGTTTTATGCCAATGTAAAATATAATAGCAACATGTTGTGTTACTGACATTTTGATTAAATAGATGCAAAACATATTTCATCCTATTCTATTTTAATTAGACAGCGTGCAGTGGTAGTACTGTATTTATGTAAAGATTCAATTTTCAGCAGATAGGCAAATACAAAAATAAGCATGACAAATCAACGATTAAAATTTAACTTTATTTTATTGTATTTCTAGACGACTAATGTGCAAGGAGTATGGTATACCTGTCAATGGCGCCTGGATGACGTCATACGGTACACAGAAGGCTGCGGAGCGTGATGGCTGGGAGACTGTCTGCGAGCTCCAGTATGAAGACTTGGAGAAGAAGTTCAACGTCACTTATCCGAAAAACCCACCTTCCACTAAATTTATGATCGCTAGAATATCTCTTTAAATAAAATGTTTACCTACTGTCTTTTTTATATATTTTATTATCTTCTTTAATTTATAAGTATATTTACCATACATGCGTAGGTACACAAGGTATTCAAAACTACTTGATATAGAAATCTAAGAATAAAACCTAAATTTTTTGAATCCAAATAACAATACAAAATACATTTTAATAAAAAGATCTGAATATTATTTTCTCTATGAGTCACAGTGATGTAAAAAGATATGGCCATGGCATGACATCTTGTTGGTGTATTTAACTAAAGTTCCAAAATGGTACAACACCACAAGAAAATATGCAGCAAAAAGTTTTGAAGTGATTTTAGTTTGACTATACACATAATGTTAGAATATTGTTTAATGTTTTTGAATTCAAGAATGATAATACCTATATATGCACACAAAATGCAGAAAGATACATAGGTTTCATTGTTATTAAAAAAAAAAGTAAAAAAATGGGACAAATAAAAGAATAAGAAAAAGAAAAAAAAATGGTACTTTATAATAATATACAAACAAATAGAAAGAATATCAATAACAATACAAGTGCAACGTTTTTGACTGACTTTACCCCTTAACCTCTGGACCCTAAACAAAACGGTTTTCATAGTTAATTATAATTTAACTAATTCAGATAAGGCAACTCAGTATTATTTATAATCTAGTATACCTTTGGCCGGTTTCCCAGGCCCTGGACTACTACATCTAGATACCCACAAACGAACATAGAATATTATATCTATTTATAAACTATCGGTCAGTTGATTTTATCAGATAGTTTTTAAGAGTGATGAGTACAATCCTTATGTGATATTTGTATTACATCCATTCATTTTTAGGGTGTACTTTATTTATTTTAAAGAACTAGGATTTTAATAAATTTTTAATAAAGTGTTCTACGTTCATCCCGATATTCCGTCGGAATCAGAACCTTCTCAAGCAAATTTTGATTTCCATGTAGGCGAAGCCGGGCAACTATTCAATGCAATTATACAATATTTTAATAATGTGTTGGTCGAACACCGTTCTTATCTAAACGATAAGATTGCGAGCTTATAAATATGTATCAACAATTAGTAACAATTCTAACAGTGTAAGTCATTCAAGAGTGTGTAATAGCAAAAATACACATTGAATTCGAAAAAAGAACAATTAATTTACATTATTCGACATGTCTAAGGCTCTCAAAGTGTGGTCTAAGTTCTCAGTGACGAAGAAAGATGGCAGTGTTCTCAATTTACGGACAGTGGAAGTACCTTTGGATGCAAGTGTAATGAAAACTGTTCTACAATGTTATCTTCAGTATTTTGTGGTAGAAGAAAATACCTTTATTGCTGCAAGTAAGTTAATTCACTTTATCTTATTTTTTTATGGGATAAACCGGTAAACGAGCAGGCGGGACACCTGATGGTAAGCAATTGGCTTCGCCCATGGACACCTGGAACACCAGAGGCATTACAAATGCGTTACCGGCCTTTTGGGGATTAGAAGTTTGAGGATCGTTGGGGATTCAGACCTACACAATTAACATTGTTTTTTTTTATTCAGAGGTACCAGAAAGTGATGAAGCGATGGAAGAAATAACAGAATTTGTACTGAATAGTGCGGGTGAAGAGAAACCACAAGTTATTGTTTGTTGTTACGATAACGATGATGATGAGAACATTGAAGTTATAGGGTCATCTATAATGACGTTAGTAAGAAAAAGTGACCCACCACCAGAGGTAAAATACTACATAAATATATTGGCTACTGAGTACTGTCTGATTGAGTGAGTCGAGCGAGATGTACCTATGAATGTAGGTATGTGTGTGGTATCTTCAATTAATTGAGCTGAAATTTTGTAAATACACCTTTAGTTTACATGACAAAGCTTGTTTTAAATATATTAAACATAACTTAACATCACGCCTTTTATCCCCAAAGGGGTAGGCAGAGGTGCACATTACAGCACTTAATGCCACTGTACAATGTAGCACCCACTTTTCACTGTTTATGTAATGAGTCCCATGTAATAGGGTGTAAGCCTATTACTATATTCCGAGCGCAATTTCGGCCTCCGTGCTACTACTGAGATATTAAAAAAAACCACTAATACTTTATCCGACCTGGGAATCGAACCAGCGACCCTGTGCCTGGCACATGCGACCACTCGGCCAACGAGACAGGCTATAAAATATTTTAATTTTTTATTTAATTAATAAATAAAGTTGAGAAATTAAATTTTATTCCATACACATCACGGGCATTGATTACTATTATTTATCCATTACAGCTGGATTTCAAAACGAAAGAAATGCAGAAACTCATGGAGATAGTGGATGGCTTAGCTGAAATTTACGATGAAGTAAAAGTATTTGACTTAGACCCCTGCTTTAGTGATAGGGGGCTCTTTGTATGTCCTGATTACAGAGGCCTAGGTATAGCACAGGAACTTCTTAAAGTCAGGTTAGTACAAAACACATTTTTATATGGCATAAGCCGGTAAATGAGCAGACGGATCACCTGATGGTGTATTCTACGCTTTTAATTTAATTCTACGTCAAAGACGTCAATATCTATGGCATAAGTTAAACAATATAATATGTATCTTCAGACGTCTAATTTGCAAGGAGTACGGTATACCTGTCAATGGCGCCTGGATGACGTCATACGGTACACAGAAGGCTGCGGAGCGTGATGGCTGGGAGACTGTCTGCGAGCTCCAGTATGAAGACTTAGATAAAAAGTTCAACGTTACCTACTCGAGAAACCCACCTTCCACTAAATTTATGATCGCTAGAATACCACTTTAAATATCTTTGTTTGTCTACTTGATTACAAAATCCATTATTTTCCTCAATATATTCATTGAAATACATACAACACTTGTAATTGTAAGTAAATTATTTAAATTGCTTTGTATTTTTTATTATTGCGACGAAAGCAATGTTGCGGTTGCTAAGCCAACTCGTTGACTTGACGGCCTGATTTGAAACTAGTTGAGCTTATGAGCTTAATAGTTTACTGCACACCTACTTTAATTTATTTTGTAAGTCTCATACGTCCGGTTATTCACGTAACTGTTCAATGAAGTGACTCATGCATTGGCTGCGTGACGCTCGCCGCGATTATGGGCCCTCGCATGGCCTGAAACTAATTGAATAGCCTCATCAATCAGCTACGATAATACAAATCACAAATCGAACGATATTTTTATCTCAGAATTGGCTAAAATATATGTTTATCTATTATAACAAAATAACAATGTAATTTTAATTATATATATATAATATATCTACGCCTTTGGGCAACACACGAAGAATCTACTTACCTGTAACACCTCACATACCTATGTTTACAAAACAAATATTCTGATTCTGATAAAAAATCCTATCGAAATAGATGATGATATGACAAGTTGAGACAGATTCACAGATATTGTACTCAGATTTCGAGTAGATGACTCACAACAGTACCTATCTATTTACACTTAATATTTTAGACTGATAAGATTACAGTACTGTTCTGCTTATAACCTGATACAAATAATATAAAAGGTTATTAAGGCAGTATTCATTACACTGTTCTGGTGACAGTAATATTCAATTTTCGGCGAACTATTGAAATAATTGTAAATTAAATACTTATATCATCATGTCTGAACCTCTAAAAGTGTGGTCCAAATTCTCTGTCACCAAAAAAGATGGCAGTGTTCTCAATTTACGTATTGTGGACATACCCAAAGATCCGAAGATAATGGAAAAAGCACTGGACGCCTACTTTAATTATTTTGTAAAAGAAGAACGTCAATTCAAAGCAGCAGGTATGTCGATTTTTATTTTTATATTACATTTATATTGTTTTATTGCGAGCCACAATTTGTTATCAAATATTTTTTTTGTATTTTTAATATAGGAGTTCCAGATAGTGAAGAAGCAATGCAAGAATTAAGAGCGGTGTTTGATTATGGGATGAACTCCGACAGCCAGCAAAAAATAGAGTTCAGCATTTGTTGCTTAGATACTGGAGATGACCAGATTAATGACGTGATTGGTGGATCAATAATGATATACAAAACACAGGCAGACGAAAAAAAAAAGGTACCGATAGTACCTAATTGTGTATAGGCTAATTTATTACTGGACGCCATCGCCCGTCAAAGTTCTAGACTTCGAATTCAATTGTACTTCCAGAAGCGAAAAATAGTTTGCCCAACTTTGGATTTTTGTTGTCTAATTTCATAAACTAATACCCTAGTAATCAATACATAGTATAAAACAAAGTCGCTTTCGCTGTATGTCCGTATGTATGCTTAGATCTTTAAAACTACGCAACGGATTTTGATGCGGTTTTTTTTAATAGATAGAGTGATTCTTAAGGAAGGTTTGTATGTATAATACATGCATATTGCACCCGTGCGAAGCCGGGGCGGGACGCTAGTATAATATATAATAATAAATTTTATAAACTAATACCAGATCAAAAAACTTGCAACTTGCCTAAAGGTATACGGACTCCGTCGGTGGCTAAAATGAACCTGTAACACCAAAGGTCCCTCAAATGCACTGTGCTAAGTAGAAAACTGCTTAAGTTGGATAAAGCAGCTTAAGTAACGTAATGCAATTATTAATACTATTATCTATTTCAGCATGTTTTCAAGGCAGAAGCACTGAACAAAGTTTCGCAAATGGCAGAAGATTTAACAGAGATTTACGACGATATGAGGGCTTTCAATTTAGATCGTTACTTCGTTTGTAGGGGAGTCTTTGTGTGTCCAGAGTACAGAGGCCTTGGCATTGCCCAGGAATTTTTTAGAATCAGGTTGGTTATTTGTATAATACTGTTTTTAAGCATAGCATACATTTAAATATGTGGACACCATGTTTGAAACAATCATTCATAGCTTTTACTTTCAGGAGTTGATTCCATAGTCCCATTCATTTTCGACGTTGTATTGGCGTTACATCGTTCGTACATATAAAAATAGCTAAAGGATTAGAAAAATATATCAATGAGAGATTTAAAAAAAATAGTAAGCCTTATGCACTAGCAGTCAACCACGCGGCTAGCCGCTCCCTGCGGTTGACTGCTTTTCCAATTTAATATGCAACCGCGTCTGACGATACAAACCGTCTGCGTCTAGGTGGTCAACCGCCAGTGCATAAGCAGAATAACGGAGGACCGACACTGGCGGTTGACCGCCTCCTGGCGTTGCTCGTTTTTCTCCATTCGAAACTACACTTTGGTACGAGCACTTACCTTCACTGACAGACAGACAAACGAACGGACAATTAAATTTTTGACGCTTTAAAAGAGTCTCATTAGGGATTATTAGAAATAAATTCTTTAACTTTGATTTTGAAATCATAACAGAATCTGATAAGTTTTTCTCCTTAACTACCTCTTTGTTTTGTCTTTTCACATTCTCGGTATATTTCATGGAATTTACAGGATGCTGTATTTTTTTTTCAGACGACTTATTAGCAAGGAGTACGGTATACCTATCAATGGTGCCTGGATGTCGTCACCCGGCACACAAAAGGCTGCGGAGCGTGATGGCTGGGAAACGGTATGCGAGCTCAAGTTCGCAGACTTGGAGAAGAAGTTCAACGTCACCTTCGAGAAATTTCCACCTACCATTAAATACATGATAGCTAGAATACCACTTTAAAATGTATGTTATGTGCACATTTTTTTATCAAAATCATTTAATAATGTATATGTGATTTTTACACTGATTTATGAGACAAAATAAAAACACGATTCCTTATACATAGCCACTGTTTTACTTCAAATTACTTTAGAAATACTAATCTTACAGAATAGAAATGAAATCCTACAATTCAATGAAGCTCCTATTCCCCTAGTCCTTTCCATCATCGTAGCACAAGACAATCAGCAAAGCAACACCGATTCATGGTAGATGTCCCACACACGTACGAAGCACTTCGCATCAAGCTTCCTTGTGTGTACTGCTAAGGAGTGGAATTCTATGCCAGAGTCATTTCTTGAAAGGTATAACCTGGGTGTCTTCAAGGCCCTAGTGAATAGGTTGCTTATTAGACGACATGCTATATCGTAGACTACATCATCGTTTCCCACCAGACGAGTTAGTGGTAAAACGTCGTCCTATCAAATATATAAAAACCTTAAATTAGAACTGCTTCCGATAAGACTTCATTTATATCATTACTGTTTCTTTTTCTGCGAGTATCATCATGAACAATCCGTGATAATTGATAGACTATAAGCTACAGAATAGAATTTGCGATGATCGGCGTGCGTGATAGGCATGTTACAAAATAACTTATAATACCTAGTAGGTATGAATTAAAAGATAGTGATTATAATATGAATGATTATCACGTGCAAGCGATTAGATAAACGTACCTTGGATAGAGTACAATATCTCAGTAAATAAATCTTTAAGGAAAAGAGAAGCAAGTTACATTTGGGTTTTTACATTATGTTTAAGATACAAATTATTAATGAACGGTTTAGTATTAGCTAACAAGCCGAAACGAATACTCGAAGTAGTCTTGAAATTAAAAAAGAAAGTACCTATTCCAAAAGCTGGTCTGTATAGTACTTTGTAAAGATAACTTTGTTGATTTTGGGGAACAGTACATAAAATGCGTCACGAGGCATTTAATACATGTAGATATTTATTTCAATTTGCATTTTAAGACAAATTTTGAAATGTTTTTATTAATCTAAGTGAGTAGAAGTTATTAATCCTATAAAGTATATGTTTATTACAAAGCAGTACCTAAGTATTATACTATCTTGAAAAAAAAAATGGTGATGATGCATGTAGTTCTTACATTTTCTGTTTAAATTATCTTCTTATTTTAACGTTAATGTTGACCGTGTTTCTTGACTACAAGGATTTCAGATTATTTCATGTTAGTATACCAACAAGTGATCAGACCATCAGACCACTACAGATGGGGCCCAACAGGGCCGATCCCGATTCGGAGTCGCGGAGAACCTAACGGGTTACCGGGGCTCCGGCTCGACGTGCAGGAGAAGGAACAGGGTGGTTTTTAGTCATTCAGTCACCCAGGTGGGAGAAGTCATTCGATGATTTTCCCCCCTTAAAAAAAAGTACCGACTACTGAAGAAGCCAAGGAAGACTTCAGAATATTGTAGGTATCAAAAAGAAGAAGATTTATCTTTTTACACGATAATTTGTTGTCGAGACGAGATTAGTAAGTTTCTATGATATTGTTGTAAACTGTAAGGTCTAAGAGAAGATTTAAGTTAAAAGAATTAAATATATTAAATTTTTGTTAGGTAAACGGCCAAGTTAAAGCTTTAAAGCAATTTTTCCGAATCACATCAGCAATATGTTATCTGTGTACGATTTAAAAGGAAATTCGGTCAGCCCCAACACTTTGTTGACCGCGGTGTTTTTTTACAGTGCAAGTGCAGGGGGCTTAGCACTGCGCAGGGGTAACTGAAAGTCAGATCAGGAAAAATGCTGTCTTTTTTTTATTTTTTTTAAAACTTTGCACAGCATCTTGTCAAGTTGCATATTGATACACTGTCTCCACTACGGCGACGTCTCCGCCTCTTCGTTTCTTATTGATATGGGGACGTGCCACCCGCTGGCCGAACAAACACAAAGTACCTTCTTATATTAAATCTAATATGAAACTGAACCAACTGACTGAAGTTCTAAAATATTTAAGAGCCTTAATCTATATATAAAAAAGAAAGTCGTATTAGTTACACTATTTATAACTCCAGAATGGCTAAATCGATTTGGATACAAATTGGTAGGCATGTAGCTTAAAACCAGGAGACGGACATAGGATACATTTTACCCAATATTTTTGTTTTTACTTTTTACGGAAAATCAAGAACGGGACCGGGAAATAGTAATAACGGGATGGCGCGTACGAAGTCGCGGGCAGAAGCTAGTTATTGATAAGTTACCCACTATTAACCGTTTTAGGCGATTAGTTTGTAAAAATATAGAGTAGCAACGCATGGAGCGTGAATGACGTCATTTGGTGCCCAGAAAGCTGCTGCACGAGATCGATGGGAAACTGCTGAGTTACGATACAATGAGATTGGGAAGAAACATGGTGTCTCTTTCGATATTTTTTTTACTTTATTTACATACATACATAACATCACGCCTTTTATTTCCGAAGGGGTAGGCAGAGGTGCACATTATACCACTGTACTTACAATGTAACTCCCACTTTTCACTATTTATGTTATGAGTCTCGTGTAATCCCCTATTACATGAGTCCGTGAGCCTATTGCCACATACCGGGCACAATTCTACTTTATTTAATAACAGGGCTTTTTTCCTTAGAGGAAAATTTCAGCCCTATTATAGGATACAATATTCAGTACAAAAAATAAAGCAACTAAACCGTTTATAGGTTTAACGTTACCATGTACAATAGGAGTGTTTTCTTCTTTATTAAAAGTTAGTTATGAAATCAATGGACCGTCTGGACATAGGCCTCTCCAATGGCACGCCTCTGAGCTCGATCTTCACTGGCTCTAATGCAACCACTACCAGCCACTTTGCGGATATCGTCACTCCACCTAGCTGGAAGGCGCCCGACACTACGTTTGCCTTTAATGACGCACCCATATACCCACCCACACATAGAACAAAATAATGTACAACAATATTGAAGAACATCATCATGTCTACAAAATAATCCGCGGTAGCATATGTCCAACTATTGTAGTTATGTCACTACAACAATCCAAATTTTCAAAAATAAATAACTGTCTACCCCGTGCGAAGCCGGAACGGGCTGCTGGTTAGAAATAAAATGAAGAATTATATGTATTTTCTTTTAATTAACAAGAAGGACAATGTGTGTATTTAAATATAGGTATGCTTCAATTTTAAAGTGGTATTCTAGCGATCATGAACTTTGTGGAAGGTGGATGTCTCCCGTAGGTGACGTTGAACTTCTTCTCCAAGTCTTCATACTGGATCTCGCAGACAGTCTCCCAGCCGTCACGCTCCGCGGCCTTCTGTGTACCGTATGACGTCATCCAGGCTCCGTTGATAGGTATACCGTATTCCTTGCAAATTAGACGTCTGAAAATATCAATAGTAATTGTGTAAGTGGGTCAATAATATTGTTGTATGACACAGAAATGAATATTTTTATGATACCGACCTGACTCTGAGAAATTCCTGACCAATCCCAAGGCCTCTATACTCAGGACATACAACGAGGCCCCTATCACTGAAGCAGGGGTCTAAATCAAATACTTTAACTTCATCGTACATTTCGTTCATAGCATCCATTATCTCCGTGGCTTTCATTAATTCTTTTGACTTAAATCCTCCCTAAAAAACGACGGTAGTATAGAATACATAGTAGGTAGATAAGGAACACATAGGTAATATTTAAGTGTGGGAGGGCCATGCTTCGACACGAATGGGCCGGCTCAACTGGAGTGATACCACGACCTTACAGAAAATCGACGTAAAACAACGCTTGCATTGTGATTCGTCGTGTGATTGTGGTTACTGCAGGCTCAATTACCCCCTCCCCAATCTATCTAATCCCTGAATCCCCAACAATCCTCAAATTTCTAATCCCCAAAAGGCGAAACGCACTTGAAACGCCTCTGGTGTTCCAGGTGTCCATGGGCGACGCCGATTGCTTACCATTAGGCGATACGTCTGCTCGTTTACCGGATTATGGCATAAAAAATAAATTGACAGTAGTATAGAATACAATTATCACGAGCACTAATCTGCCTATAAGTTTAAAAAAAAACCATCAGCTGAACATAGTACCTCTTCCTTTTTTGAAGTCGATAATAAAAGCTGAATAAGTTGCTACACATTTGATATAGATCGGCCAGCAAGCCCGCTGGTAAATCTCAATTTTATATATGATCTGTCGCGGAGAACCTAACGGGTAACCGGGGCTCCGGCTCGACGTGCACTAGAAGGAACGGGGTGGTTTTTAGTCAGTAAGAGTCTGACACTCCCTCCCGCCTCATCCAGGCGGGAGCAGTCATACGATGATTTTCCCCCTTAAAAAATATATATATATGGTGATGTGTTGTAGATCAAGAGATATCAGCAAATTCTCGATGTAGGTAAGGAAAACGAAATGATTTAGGCAGAAAATAATGATGAAGTAATAATTTTTAATTCAGATACAACTTATCTGTCGGTCAATTACTTTGTTAATCTTGCAGATTATGTTTGTTATAGATCGTATACTATATATATAGTATATATTATTATTATATTATATATATATACAATAATTTAGGTAAACGAATATTAATATCATGGTTAACATTATAAGTATGATCATTTACTTCAATAACCTTTTAAAAAATATATTACCTCTGGTTTCATATCATCTTTTCTCGTTAAAGCCATAATTGACGACCCAATAATTTCATTTATCTGATCATCATCGTTGTCTAAGCAGCAAACAACAATATGATGATTTTCCATATTTAACATGTTGATTATGAATGCAGTTATTTCTTCCACTGCTTCTGCACTTTCTGCCACTCCTATAATAGATAAATATAACCATTGACCATTGACCAACAAGTTAGATGACTAATTTTTATTTTAATGTCCGTCTGGTAGATTATTTTAAAACATTAGACACGTATTTTTTTTTTCTTACAGAAACGAATACTTTTGACGATTTATTGATTTGAAATATCGCGTGACGTCACTTCTATGTACATTTTATACGTAGAAATGACGTTTTCAACCCCACTCCTAAACTTTGATTCGTTATATCTAAGTATCATTTTATTATACATCAAAATAAAAAAATACGTGTCTAATATTTTTTATTACCTAACTGACAAACTAATTACATTTTTAATTTCCATACCCTGTTTGATGACAGGGTATGAAAATTATTAAATAAATTATATTATAATTATTAAGGAAATTATTATGAATGCCCTCGAGAACGAAAAGTACCATTTAATAATCATTCAAAATCACGTTCTTTTTACGGAACTTTCTTAAACAATTAAGTTATTTATTATTTCGGAGACAATAGAAACACATAGGTAATCTATATCAATAATAAATAATATTAGGTATAATCCACTCACTTGCTGCCTTTAGGGTGTTTTCTTCTGGTACAAAATACTTAAGGTTGATATTTAATACTTTTTCTAGTACACTGGGATCTCGAGGCATATCCATTATGCGTAATTTTAGAACACTGCCATCTTTCCTAGTCACTGAGAACTTAGACCACATCTTACTCAACTTAGGCATAATCATAATTAATAATAATTAATAATTATAAGTATGGGTGCCTACAACCCACGTTATAGAACTATTTTTTGCATAAAATCATGTATTCTAACAAACGCAGAAAGCAAAATAAACATGTGAAATAAGGAACAATTTTGTGAGTAAACTGACAGTGTTATCAGTTAATGTTACCTAGGCCATATGAGATAAATACCCGTTATAAAAAAACGAGGCTAACCTATAAAGTATGTCAAATAAAGAATTTTAGGATTTATTTGAGTATTTAGCATCCTATTGGGTGTTTAATACAATTTTCACAGAGGAACAAATAAATAGGTGCACTTGTTAGATAACCGTTTACTATATTTCATACATAACATAACATAATACTACAGCCTATTTATTTAACATTATTTTAATGATTTTGTTTATAAAATAGATCAATGAAAATTAAAACGTTTAAAGTGGTATTCTAGCGATCATGAACTTCGTGGAAGGTGGATGTCTTCCGTAGGTGACGTTGAACTTCTTCTCCAAGTCTTCATACTGGAGCTCGCAGACAGTCTCCCAGCCATCACGCTCCGCTGCCTTCTGTGTACCGTATGACGTCATCCAGGCGCCGTTAATGGGTATGCCGTACTCCTTGCTAATAAGCCGTCTGGAAACATTAACATGGCTTAGGAATTATTCGAATAATATCATACTAATAAGTTGTAATGAAAGAGGTATATAAGAATCGTAGCAATTGGCATTCCATAATCTCTGGCCATGCCATGCCATGGGGGTCCGTGGGAGACAGGCGTGAGGTTATGTATGTATGTATGTATATAAGTTCATTTCGTGAACCTATAAGTGATCTATCCTGATATTTTAATTTATTGAATATTATCGTTGGATTTTTGTCATCATCCCCATTTATTTAGGTAGGATAAAATAAGGTTAACCAACCTGACTTTAAGAAGCTCCTGTGCAATTCCGAGGCCTCTGTACTCGGGGCATACAACAATCCCTCTGTCAAGAAGGTAAGGATCTAAATTGAATGCCCTCATATCATTGTAAATCTCTGCTAGATCTTCTGCCATCTGAATAAGTTTCTGCATTGCTTTTGTCTTGAACTTTAACTGTAATTGTCATATAGGTAATAAGTATATATATTGTACATTAAATTTTATCGTACCAAAGGGTTAAGCATTAATTATTGGGTTTGTGGTTCATATACCTAACAGTGTGAAACCGGCAGTGTGCATTCTACTGTTCAATATTTGTAATGAAAAATTAGTGTCACATTTAATACCTCTTTTCTTTTGAGGGGGAAAATCATCCAATAACATCTCCCGCGTTGGGTTAGGCGAAAGGGAGTGTCAATCTCTTACTGACTAAAAGTCTACCCGTTCCTATTCCTGCCCTTCGAGCCAGAGCCTCGCCAACCCATTAGGCCTTCCGTGGCTCGATTTAATACTTTTACCGTATGAATAGATGAATTTGATTACCTTCTTTTCTGCCTCTTCCCTTGTCATGTACATCATTAGTGATGCTCCCATCACCTCCTTGATCTGGTCGTCTCCGTTGTCCAAGCAACAAACGCTTAACACTGGTTTTTCATTGCTGACCAAATAGTTAAAGGCTCCCCTTATTTCTTGCATTGCTTCTTCACTTTCTGGAACGCCTAAAATAAAATACGAAGAAAATTAATAATTATCGTAACATTTTATTAAAATATGTTTCAAAATTTTTAAAAAGTATGGATGGACGTACCTGCTGCTTTGAATGTGCACTCTTCTTTTACAAAATAATTGTGAAAGCAATCCATTACTTTTTCTATCACCTTCGGATCTTCTGGGTTATCCACAATACGTAAATTGAGAACACTGCCATCTTTTTTGGTGACTGAGAATTTGGACCATACTTTTAGAGGCTGAGACATGGTGATTATAATATTCAATTAATAAATAAATAAATGGTTTGTTAAGGAGTTTGGAATACTGCTATCACCAGAACAGTGTTCTGAATACTGACACAATAACAGTTCATTGTATTTGTATCAGTATATAAATAAAACGTTACTGTAATCTTATCATTCAAATATGTTTTGAGTGTGAGTCATCATTGAAATCATCATAACGTATTGTCCCAATCGGTATATTATTGTAACACATATGTACCTGTAGGTACAGGTGTATATAGGTATATATGATAGGAATCAGAATGTTGTTTAAAAAAAATCTAATTAAAAGTATTTTATTTTATTTTAATAGTTCATGAATAAAAAACATTACATTTTGTAACGGACTTCAAAACAAGAAGTAGGTTCTCATTTTGACCTGTACCTATGTATGTATTTTTTTATGATTAAGCTGGTAAACGAACAGACATATCATCTGATGGTAAAAAATCGGCGTCACCCGTAGACACCTGGAACACCGGAACCGTTGCAAGTGCGTTACCTTTTACGATTAGGAATATGAGGATTGATGGGGATTCAGGGATTGGTTAATGCGGAATAATTGGGCCTCCAAGTATGATGCTATTTTAGAAAAGCGTTTGGTACACTTAAGGAAAACGTTATAGATAAACGTGGTAGATGTATTAATATACCGAAAAATAGGGTTGAAGTCGTATTTTTTAATGTTCATAAACAAATTATATTGTAAATAGTCGATAAAAAAAGTCTACAAAAACCTTGCAGGTTAGTTGCAGCTTTTAATGACAATCTTGGCTTACCCCTTCAAAGAAAAACTTTTTAGGTACTAAACGTATAACGAGTGATGATGAATATTATTAATTGGGCGCGCAATACACACAAAAAATATTAATTGAAAAGTATCACATTACTAGCCAATTTCAAATCTGTGCCTCCTGTGATAAGTGATATAACTCGAGTTGTACCCTAACTCGAGTTATATCACTTATCACAGGAGGCACAGAAATTATTTTAGGCATAAACGAGGAACATTTCTTACTCCAACTATAAAAATATAAATAAGATCTCTTTTATAAATTCCCTGAACATTGTCGTATGACATTATTAGTATCAAAGCATGATTTGTTATTTTTGTTTTTTCATGTTGACCCACACGGGTCTGATAAGTGTAATATCGGATATGATAAATGAATTTAATTATTTTCCTTGTACAAATGTTGTTGAAATTGCTACTTGTTTTGTAATATCAATGTAATTCAGTTTCCGCCTTGTTATCTGGCACATATGGTTTCTAGGCAGCACACTTGTGTTACGTACCTATGCTTGTATTTTTATAAAATACGAATATGTTTGTCGTGATGGCCTGGAAGTTTAAGACGCCTGCATGTATAACCTACCAAAGGAAAGTACCAATTTGACTTATCTCGAGTTATATGTACTTTTGACGTGACAACGTCTTAAATTAGGTTGCGGCTGGGAGTCACTTATGAAAAAGTGTAACGCTCGGTAACGTTACGATGAGTCACCGAACGAGAGAGAGGCCCGCCGAATGCCTTGCGTCTCTCTCCCACTCAACTATGATCGGTCTGCCGCGCGCGCAGCACTAGTTCATTCAATTCCTTGTTCCTATTGTGCAATTTAATTATATTCATATCAATAAATATTCTACCGAGAAAAAGACGTTGTCACGTAAAATCTTCGCCCGTAAAAACGACTTTACAGGCAACCATTTTTTTAACAATATTTAGATACCAATGACAAACGGTGAAGGAAAACATCGTGAGTAAACCTAGGCTTATAACTTCTAATTAGAAGTTTCAATTTACCAACCCGTATTCAGCAAGCGTGGTGATTAATGCTCAAATGTTCTCCGTGAGAGAAGAGGCCACTTATAGAATGTTGATGATGATGATGAATATGTTCCTCTAATAAACAATGACTAGTCTGTGTTGAAAGAAATAATGTCACAGTCCTTATTATTGTGAGATGAGTCTCTTCAAAACCTGCGTATATTTATTAACTGCAGGACTTAGTCCTTGCCAACATATAACTACCATCCGCTACTTATATATGCCAAACACAGATCTCTGTATAATAGGGTAGATGACTAATTTTTATTTTAATGTCCGTCTGGTAGATCATTTAAAATCATTAGACACGTATTTTTATTTTCTTACAGAAAGGAATACTTTCGACGGTATATTGATTTGAAATGTCGCGTAACGTCACTTCTATGTAAATTTTATAGGTAGAAATGACGTTTTAGCCCCCACTCCTAATGTTTAATTCGTTTTATCTAAGTATTATTTTATTATACGACAAAATAAAAAAATACGTGTATAAAATATTTTATTTACGTAACTTACGGAGTATTTAGATATTTAATTTTCATACCCTGTCATCATCCCAATTACATGTGTATTTTCATACTAATTAATTAACATTGACACAACACTTTGAAGGTGTGATACAGTCTCACAGAAAACCGACGTGAAACAACCGAATCGTTGTGTTTCGTCGTGTGAGTGAGGTTACCGGAGGCCCAATTACCCTCCCCTCCTCAATCTCCCCAATCTCAGGATCGCCAACAATCTTCAAATTCCTAATTTCCAAAAGGCCAGTAACGCACTTGTAACGCCTCTGGTGTTCCAGGTGTGCATAGGTGAATCCGATTGCTTACCACCAGGTGATCCGTCTACTTACGTGTTTACCGGCTTATCCCATAAAAAGGCTTGAAATGAAAAGCCAATGGAAACCTACAGAGATTTTCTTTTATTTATTCTTATAACTCTTTCATCTGTCCCACAAACAGTAAATAAAAACGTAAATTCCGTAGTAATGACTTCGTTTCTAGAATGATAGTATCCTTCGAATTTATTTGTTTACAACATCAATGCTCCAAGGACGTCAAACCTCATAAAAGACCCCAGGAATTGAAATAAAAGTCAAGTATTCAATGAAAGAATTTACGAGTAGGACGCCAAAGAAAGGACCCTTACGAAGGCGTAATGTAATTGATGATCTTATTTTCGTGTTGATTGAATGTCGCGTGTGAGTCTAATAAAATCATTTTAAATTTATGAATATTATTCACATCCCGGATTCTGCGACAGTACCTAAATGTATAGACATTTAACAATAGGTACCTACGTAATACCTATATATCTGTTAACAATTTTAATTCTTCTAGAAAGTAAACGAAGTAGGTTATTTATGTGACATGTCGCATAAAAATATGTGCAATAAGTTTCGTAATCTGTATCAATTTACAGAAAGAAAACATTTAAGTATACCTAATTATTGGAAAGCATTAAAAAACTTGTTATAATCTATTAAAAAAGAGCTGTACAACGCCTACACATCACAACATAGATCAAAATTAAAAAAATAAGTTGAAATATTAGCACAAAGTGTCAAATATTTCCGTAACATTGTTTTCACTTTATGCAAGTAATAAGAAGAAAGCGTAGTCGTTGACGCATTTTCCTTCACTTCTACTCAGACGTAGACTCACTAAGGACATCTCATTAAGCACCAGTAGACTGTGAAAGACAACTTGTATAAATGCAAGATGAAGTTCAAACGACGTTGTTATCTGCACTCGATGTCTGACTGACATTTTTAAGTCTATTTTAAAGAGCGAGTACACTTTAGTAGATATTGCACACTGCTATGACATCTAAAGTAATAGGTGCTTTATTTCATCTTTCATAATATAATTACGTCTTTATAGACGTAATTATTTTGTTTCTTCGTATTATTACAAAGAACATTTAGATGTCACCCGATACACAATAAAAGTCATATATCAGTATAAGTTTCCTCTAATGCTCTGATCGACAATATTAATCTGGAAGATAATAATAATAATATGTTCTTTTCTGCATATTGAAAGAACCATTCATTATTATTTCCAACTACAATAATAAAAAAAATAAAAATAGATATACCTATTAAGAAAATACACGTGTAATGAAAAATCACCCCACACCGATCGCATCGAAGGCTAACAGAATGATGGCCACCTTATCATGTCAGTGAACTTAGCTGATCATTGTCCAGCAGATCAAAAATAAATGAGAGTTCTCATTGCATGCAGCTGAGTTCTATAGTTCCTGACACCTTTTAGAAATAGTTCCGGCGTTTTTACCTTAAAAAAGACAATTAAAAAAATGATCTGCCAACTTCCGGCAGCAGATCAATTTCTAGCAGATCATAAATAAACGTCAGTTCTTACTACATATAA